GACTTTGCTGATGAGCCTTGGTATAAATATAATGTGCATTTCACGCTATTTAGGTTCACATAGAGCGTTTTTGATTTTAGTCGCGTCTTACGACAAGCGTTCCTTACCATGGCCCTGTATTTACATGCCCATATGGGAGACGTATGATATATGCAACACAAAAGTAAGAAGAAATGTATATTGTAAACAATTGTGATATAAAATAGTTTTACTTTTTCGCCTTAATCATACTATGTAAATCTGTTGTAATTTAAATTGGTAGCGCATTATTTCCTAAGATTTAAAAATTGAAAATATAATTTCATTAAAGGTTACTAAAAAATACAATACTGTAAAATGGTAGCAAAAATCTGCACTCAAAAGATTTTGGCAACACTTTTTAAATTGCGAAATGCGCCTTTCACAGCTTGAAAATGTAAATTGTAAACAAAGTGAATTCGTCAAAAATGTTTATTTTAAATATATAAGAAGTTTTTAAATAAATGTAAATAAAAATAAAATGGAAGAAAAAAGTAAGTTGCTTTCATCACTTTATAGTTTATCAACTATAACGTGATATACCATTTTCAGAATACATTAAACGTAAGGAAAAAGCCGCAAATGATGGAAATCTTGAACAATTGGCAGTCAGTTGCAATAATTTAGGTGATTTCTATAATCAACATGGCAAGTATCAACAGGCCGCACAAGAGTATCAGCAAGAAGCGGAGCTGTATGAGCGGCTACATAAAAAACTCGAAATGGCAAAGGCACATCGTATGATCGGTGAAATGTGTATGCTATTAAGCGAATTTGATAACGCTAAGCAACATATAAACACATATTTAAGTAAGAGTTTTTGTGTATATAAATTACGAAAAAAAGATGTAATAATTAAAGATATTTATTAGAAATTGTTAAAAATTTACACAACAAAGTAGAGGAACAACGTGCGTATGCCACATTAGGCAGAGCAGAGTTACTTTATGGACAAAGTCTTAGTGAAACTTCATCAAAAGGTGGTATGGACCAATTGAAACAAGCTGAAAAAGCATTTCTAAAAAGCTTGCTTCTTACTAAAGAGTATGTAATTAATTTATTGCTATATATATAAGTTATTTATATTAAATAACTATCTGGTCGTTTCAGACTATCTGGTCAGATAACGAAATTAGAACAGTTGGATATGCAGGCTCGTTGTTACTTGAATATTGGCGTTGTTAAGGAACATATGGAAGATTTTGAAGAATCTATAACTTATATAGAAAAAGCTATCAAAATCAGCGTATCAAATGACATTTTCGAATTGACACATTTATGTTATATATCGATGAGCTTGCTTTATTTTTATAAAAAGAATGACGCGACGTTAGCGTTGCGCTATTGTAATTTGGCACTCGATATTGCAAAACGACTACCGAATAAAGTTAAAAGAATATGTGAAACGTTGATTACGAAATCGGAAATATTAATTAAAGAAGGTGATTTTGCAAGCGCAAAACAAATATTGACAAAAGCCTACAAGAAAAATACGCCTGATGAAAATGATCGTAATACTATCGAAAAATCTTTACGAGTTGGTGAGTTAAATTTTTTATTGTATTAGTATTTTTTTTTTTTGCGAAAAGCCTGAGTCCATATGTTATTGTTTCCATAATTTTAATTCGCTTATATGTATGTAATATAAGAATTTACGGATATATTTTTGATGAACATATCGCACACCCTCTTCAAAAGAAGTACATTGGTGATTTTTATTCTTTTACCTTTGTAAGTAAAAGGTAAAAGAATATTTTTAATAGACGAAGGTGTTTGTAGCACGGTGACATATATTATCGTTTCTCTAAAACGGATTAATGAATATTTTAGAGGTCCTTTTAGAGGGACGAAACGAATCTATCTAATGATATATACCAACAGCCTGTATATACTTTTAAATTTCAACTATTATATTAATTTAAGAGATATAAAATTTTGTACATTGATGACTCCAGAAACGACTTCGAATTTATATTGGAATGTTTGAAATTGGACTTAAAATTGCCATAAAAATTAGATAAAATCTTGATGATTATGTAAATAATAGCCTTATAAATATAGCTAGATGCAGAGAGCAATACGCAGAAATAGTTAAAAATTTATAATTGTGTTTATTAAAAACTAATCAAACAATATAGTATTATGTTATGTTACTATGTTATAATTATTATGTTATAATTATTATTATGTTATAATTAATCAATATAGTATTATGTTATGTTATATGATCACCAATATTCGAAATCGAATTGGCAAATAAAGAAGAAGATTAAATGTTTTGTATTCATCTAAGACCTTTGTTACTGCATTAAAGCAAAGCAGTTTTCCAGCACGTGCTTGGCCCTCTTTTCCTTGTATTTGTAGAACCATCCACCAGAGACGAAAGTTAAGATGTAAATATTTTTTGGATAAATGGTTTCAGGTCCCAAGAAATCATTTTAGGGATCTAAAACTATGTTGTTTCATTGTATTCCTTTTTGCTTTCATACTTTTTTTTAAATTATTTGTTTTAAGTCTACAAGCGCGTTTTTTCTTTGCAAACACGTCTACGATTTAATCGTTTTCTAATCCTAACGTGCCTTGGAGCTCCTGCAACTCATATGTTATTACTTTGGCCGAGTATATTAAACTTTTCTAAATATTTCGATATAAGGTGTGATGTTTTTTGGTAAAATTATTGTTTATTAAGGCCGTGTGCGAGTTCGAGTAAATTGGTGGTAAATTAAGGGAAATAGTAAATTTTGTCGGTATGGCAGTGAATGTAAGTATTTACCAGAATTTTGAGTAGGGTAAATTAGATAAAAATTAGGTAAATCAGGTATTATCATTGTGAAAATTTTAAAAGATGTTTATTAAGTAAATAAATAAATTTGAAAACATTTAACCAAAAATAATAAATAGGTGCAATATATAAATAAATAAATATTTACATAAGTGCAGTGCAAAAAATCCCTAGTCAATTTGAATTTACTTTATCTCAATTTACTCGAACTCGCACATGGCCTAAGTTGGTTTTTTTTTTGGTTTTTTAAGATAGGTTTAATATTGCAGTGAATACACGCTTGTATCGTATATATTTTATTTTTGTGTAAATAGAAATCAAAATAAAAAGCAACAAAATCTGGCGCATGGTGAAACATGAATCTTTGTAATGATCCAGATATATGGCTACTTGTTCCAGGCTTTCGTAGATACGGGCAAGAAAATTGATATAAAAAGAATACAATAAGCCTGACACAATTTTCACATTCGTAAAATTATAGGTTCAGAAGAATTGTTGTTGTCCATTGCGAGTTTGCGCCATCTATGTGTTTCGTGCACATTGCAATGAGTTTGCAAAACAGAGTGAATATCCCTAATACAATTTTATAATTAGACGAAAACTACAAATCTTTAATAAAAGCATAACAAAAAAGTATTACGCACAGTAACCCACAGTAAAAAAAAGTTGCAACGTATTTTTTTCCAGATTAAAACCGCTTACGATGTAATTGGGATTTTTGTAGTACCGGTTAGGTCTGCGCAAAAATAAAGCTGAAGGAAAACAAAAAGTTATTAAAATCAAATTATCTTTAAAGTGTTTTCTGATGTTATAAACTGCATAACAATTTCCATAAAAGGAATGCAAACTTTAAGAAAATTACTTCTATATCTTCTTCACTGACGCTGCTGTTGCTATTACATGCGCCTTCCTAAAAACTTTCGGATATAAGAAACTTCTCATAATATGTTTCGGATCATTGTTGGGATGTGGTATTCAAACATTTATATAACCTCAATACTGTATGTAATACTCAATTTATAATTTGTATGATTAATTGGAACTTTATTTGGGTTTTCAAGTGTGAGTGCCACGGCAGTTAGGAAAACGGGCATATGTGATTAGTATTTCTATTATAAATTTGAAGAGGAAAATATGTATATGATATATAAATTCCTGAGTGATCTTTAGTGGTTTTGAAGCTTCTTCTTCTTCCAAACAGACTGAAAAAAAGGCAGCTTCCTTTTTTAAAAAATGGCACATGAAACAACACTGCCCAACAAAAAGCTCACAACGCAGCCAAAACTATAAATTCGTCTATTTTGATCATTTTCGAAATTTCATACAATATATACAATAATAACATGTACACTAGGGTGGGTTTTTCGAAACGCTATAGTTGCCAAAAGTTGTCTCTAGTATAGAGTAGAAAACTGGAACAAAATTAAATTTTTCAGTTGATATCTTCCGTTCGCGCATCGCCTCCAAAAGTTGGCAAAATTGATAAAATCGATCATTTTTCAAAAAAATTTTATAATTATTAGTATACATAGAATTAATACGGTTTAACTTTTTTTATTCAGTTTAAAGTCCAAAATATTAAAATAAAATAACAAACCACTGATAAAATAATATTGACCTGTCGCTCAATATCATCGCAAAATTGATAAAACGCGTAATTTTCGCGCCTTTCTTCATATTGAGAATTGAATTCATATTTTTTCATCTGAGAATTGATAACGCAGTGTTGGTAAGTCTGTCAGTTTATTTAATTAATATTTATTAAACTAAATCAAAAATTACAAAAAGAAGCACCGAATGCATTTTAAAACACATTTTATAAAACAAATCAGAAGAATAACGAAAATAGTAAAACAAGAATCGTCAAAAGAAATACGAGTCCATAAATAAAAGTAATTCTACATCAAGAATTATTAACACAATGTTGAACTATAATATTTCAAGTGGTCGAATTACGTCTATCGTAAATAATATAATTTTACAGAATATATATAAGTTATATATATATAAGCCTGGAGACCATCAAAAGAAGTACCTTCCTTTACTTTCTGCAACTCACCAATAACAGATGGAAAGCACTAAGGTCATGTGTAACTTCCAGGTTAACGTGACCCACCTATAATAAAAATAAATCCCTGGAACTGATCAAAAGAGATCGCGTAAACACTCCAAGGCTTATTGCAGTTCTTACTGGTCATTGGTGTATAGGAACTCACGCAGAGAAACTGCGTATTCCCCATAACTCTCACTGCAGAAGTTGTAGAAACCAGCAGGAGAAAGAAACAATAATACATTTTCTCTGTGAATGCCCAGCTCTAGCATCCAGAAGATATAGGTTCTTAGGAAAATACTTTTGTGATAGTTTATCAGACTGCTCAATGGTGAAGTTGAAAGACCTATTAAATTACCTAAATTCAGTGGGATGGATTTAGTCTCTACTCTTCTATACTAGGGTTCTTGTGAGGAATGTGGTAACAAAACGGTGAAAAATCGCGAATTGAGGTACATTTGAAGTTATCTTATGACCTGCTACTGCAACCAACCAATCAACCATAACATAAGTTAGTAGTTATGCTATATTGTTTGTAGATAGGATACAATTTTATGATATTATATTCAGTTTATCATATAGATAGCTTTTAAATAATATATACGTAATAAGAATGTAATATATTTAGTGAACTTTGTGCAATAGAGGTGCAGTTAGTTGCGAATTAAATAGCGACTTGAATAAAATACAAAACTTGCATAATAAACTGTGTTTAAGGTAAGACATTAATTTTTGGTCAGGCGGAAACTGATAATAGGAGAATATTGATTTTTTAAATGTGAAATACATATTTACGTACAAGTCCAACCAAGTCAAACCATTAAGTCACCTCAATGAGCATCGTAAGAATTTGTATGTTAGATAATCTTTAAGCTGCTTCAACTGTGCAATTGAAATAAGCCTCGAATTTAAGAGCATCGTAACCAGGCAAACTGAGCACGTATCTTAGAAAGGATACTTTCCAGCAGCAATGACCGAAGCTTAACCAACATTTTTTTATTAGCACGAAAAAGAAAAAGAAAAAGAAAAAACTGCAGGGATTGCTTATATAATAAAAACAAGAAAAATGTATATGAAAAAATGGAATGAAATCATTTGACGAAAGCTATAAATACGACTCGTGTGGATTTTTATGCGTATTCGAATATGTGAAGGAAATCTGGTTGAAACCGTGCTTTCCAATCCGCAAACAAAAAACTCTAGGCTAAAACTCCTAAAAAGGGAAGCAAAAAGGACAAAATAAGCTATGTGGAGAGTTGATTTTATTTTTTTAAGAGATGGCAAAAAATTTTATAGTTGCACAAATTTGAAAAAAGGTCAAGTGTCTGGGTAAATTGGCCGGTGTGGACTAACAGATATTTGGATTATGCAAGTTAAGCTACTTGGGGATTTCCCCTTTTGCTTGTATTTTTATTTCGGTTTGACTTTACTCTGGGGTATTTAAATGAAAATGTTATGGGTCTTACTACTAAAGCCAATTGATTGTTTGTGTAGTTGAATATATCAATTTCGTTTTATTTTTAACAATTTTTTGACGTTGAAACAATTTTACCAAAGTGCTATAAAATAACAATGTATTGTGGTCGGAGTCATGATTTCTTCCTCAAATACCTTGCAATGAACTTTTCCACACTTAAAGTCTCAGCTAAGCATTTTTATTAAAGTGCTTGCAGTGTACTTAGACTATCATAACTACTATTAATACTTATATATCTTCTGCTTAAAAAT